CCGCACTGAGCCCATTTCCTTGCATTGCTCGTGTTTGTGGTTCATTTCTTTTGGTCTTGGCTTTTTCCCTTTTTTTTTCTTTTTTTTTCTTCTTTTTCAAACCCAGGGTTTAGAAAGAAAACTGTCTGCATGTGAAACCAATCTTACCTGGAAAAGGAATCACATTACATTCTATAAGTGGAATCAATGGAATGATAAATTTTCCTGGAGCAGCCAAACGTATATAATGGCAAATATAACATATCACTGCAACTGTTCAAGGGACAGAGGGTGCAAGCTAAGCCATCCTTTATTTCTGCCCCATGTAGCATTAACTTAACTCTAATTTCTCTCCTGGATTTCCCTCCTTCAGAAAACGAACAGGCTTGATGTTTCTTGGTGCCTAAAGGTGGAGGAAGTCTTTAGCCCAAGTAACTACAATTTTTCATAAAACCAAAGTTTTGGATTCCTAAAGGACTCAAATGGTGCAGTTGATCAAAAATAGCTGTATTATCCAAGTTATCCAGAGGGTGATCATTTTGCACTTACTATTGATTGCTGGTTTATTTCGAGGAATCGGATCGTGACTTACTTAAAATTTCTGTGATGTTTTTCTGAGCTGCTGTGGCAGACGTGGGTGTATGTATGGGGTGTTTTCCGTGGGGCTGCGCTGAGCAGAGTGCCGGCATGCCCCTCCGTAGCTCGGCTCCCAGTCTTCCCAGAAACTCTAAATATGTCAAAACGCATTTCCCGCATTATGGCGATGTTTGTGTGTGGCAGTCCTCGGGGGGCCGAGCGTGACGCATAAACTCTGCGGTTATGTTGGGAGTCCTCGGTGGTTGCTGAACCTAGCTAAAAATAATGTTTTTCTGTGTTTTTTTTTTTTTTTCTTTTTTAATTATCTTTGGCAGAGTTTTTGAAGGCATCGTTAGAGAATTATGTGAAAAATCTGGAAGTCTCCATAAAAATCATTCGGATGGAGCAGAGGTCAGGACTGATCCGCGCGCGGCTCCGAGGGGCAGCAGCCTCTCGCGGGCAGGTGATAACCTTCCTGGACGCGCACTGCGAGTACTCCCCCGGGGTGGGGCGGGAGCCACTGCTGGCCAGGATAAAGGAGGACAGGTAAGGGGGGCTCTCCCGTCCCCGGGGGCAAGGGACCTGCCTCCAGGCCATGCCTCAGTTTCACCATGCTGCTAAAAAAAACAGAAATGAAAACAACTCATTGATTTGAAAATGAAGATTTAAGATTTTTTAAAATTTATCGGGAAGATGGAATATTTCCTAGTATTTGTATCAAAATCTAATTTCTAAATAAATACATGATAAGCTTTTTGATTCTTACAGCAAGATTTCTATTGCTGACAATAAGAATAACACCACCAGTAACGACAGCAACTTGCGCTATTTGTTTTCGCAAGGTCTGGGTGTCCCCCACTCTGGTGGCCGTCTTTCTCCCTGCCTTTTACCAGGCACAACTTTTTTCCTGTGTGCACTCCAGTACTTTCTGAAATTTGAAC